CATGTTGTTTCTACTGTATCTGCCATGTTAGCTGTACTGAAAATATGCCATGGTATTCCTGATGACTCTGCATGGCATATATTTCCATGACAATACGACGCGGTTTAGAGACACATAGTGTGTTGTGTGCAATGTATGGGAAACAAGTTGGAAAAAGCGTAACGTGCATAAACCGCAGCAAAGGTTTTGGCTACATGATCAACCTACCCATGCTAGCCGGTGCAGTTAGCGATGAAAAAGAAGAAGCAAAACAGCCAAAATGAAAAACGACAATGACTTTCACTACCCATGTCTGATGAACTACATTTACCATCTTTTTTAAAAATATCGTAGACGCATTCAAAATAGCAAACCGGTGCTAGAAACGATAAAACCATTGTAATAATGACAAACATAAAAACATATCTGCTGTAACGCCTAAAATAGGTTCATGTCCACACATATATTACAGAAACTATTCAAATGTCGCTCACACACCACCACTACATAGTTAGGCTACGCGGGGTTGCAGTCATAACATAGCACACAAACATAGTTTTCGACGAGAAACAAAGAGATAGTACCTTACATTCTTCGGCAACAGAATGTAAGGTATACGTCCGGTGTGTAACGCCACGTGATCACTTGTACTTCTTGATGACTTTCTTGACAGCTTCCTCCACGAACTCGCATGCTCCGGACCGCTTGTTGAAATCTTCATTCGTCAACCAGTTCCATGTGTAGATTTTCCGGAGCTCAACGACCGTTGCAGCTGTGATAGGGGGGACAATTCTGCCTTCCCACTTTGCAAAGTATTCCAGCGCGTGAAAGCCACAGTCCGTCCTGCATGAGAAAAAGAGTCAGGTGAACACGCAAAAAGGACAGTCGTAACAAAGATAGACTTCAATTCAGATGTGACAACAAAAGAGGGGTTGGATTGATGTAAATGGCACATGAAGGAAGGAAGAAATTACGTGTTCCCTTGCTTCGCAGTCGCCACATACTCAGTCGGGAAATGTCTGATCTAGACCTTTGAATGTTCGTAGTGACGGTTTCATGTCTCTTTGAGGTTGTTAATGAAGAATTCGGCATGCGTAGTAAGGTCTGCATCAGCTTCCGAACGGATTGAATCAAGCACCTCAAAACGTTGGTTTTTCAGGTCAAGACAGATCGCATAGTGGTGACCACACTTGTTGTGTGGGTCATGTGGTGCAAGCTCCTGGAACATGGGGAACATGACCTGCATTTAAAAGTGAAGAAATGAGAAGCAGAGTTCACATAAAGAACATCAGACGGACAAAAAAATAGAATCACGTGGAATGTTTGGTTATGGGTGGGGGTAGTTGAAATAAAGTTGCCGTCCATGTATGAACAAAATGTGCCGTGTATTTTACTATCAAGTTGCCACATAGTTTGCACGGGATGCAAAAATCAAGAAGTCAGTGTGCACGGCAGCTATTGCCACATGAAAACAGCTGCCACGTAAACACAAGTGCAGATGATGGCAAAAAAGCACACCTTGTGAAAAAACAGTGCAGACAGTGAAGGAGTACTCACATATTTCTTCAGTGTGAGCTTGAAATCACCGTGTTGGGCAAAGTTCTTCCTCAGGATTTTGTGGTGGAAGTCACCATCCCATATTTTGCAGGTCACACTATAATGCATAATTGTCTTGTCGGCGCACACATCGGTGTGGTTGTTGATGTAGTCAATCCCGCATGCAACTACATTCGTCGACATTTTGCCGTTTGGCCTCACGGACTCAGCAAGATCACCCAGGTCGACGTACGTCGCTCCGCATTGAATGACTTTGGTTCTGTCCAAACATGAGCTGTATGAAAACAATATAACATGAAAGAATCATGCCTACTAAGTAAAAAAATTATGAAAGAACTAAAACGTAAGCGGATCGCGCATAGAAAGTACGAAGGAGGTGAATGGTAAAAAAGGAGCAAAGCAAAATGAGATATTATGGGGTGTGGTCGTTTACGCTTTCAGCTCCTTCATGTGCTTGCCGCTGGACCTCGCATTTCCAAACCGCTTGACGATATCATACAGCTGGGTCTGTTCCTTAGTGGCCCTGAATTCGGGCTCGTAGTCTTCCGCGGGAGGTGGGTGCACTACCCTCTGCTGCCTCACAGAACCAGAAGTGGCACTCCTAATGGTCTCCTCAGATACCGTGTCTGCAGCCACGTTGGAACTTGATTGCCCTTGCCCTCGTGATGACCTCCTCTGCAATGCTGCCTCCTCAATCATGCGGTAAGTTTCATCAAGGGACGGTGAAATCTCCTCAGGGGTGGCTGCAATGATAAAAAATGGCTTACGATACCTAGGAAATCGAAAACAGATGGTTTGTGAGAAGATAGGGTGCATGATGTGAGATGTGGGTACAAAAAAGTGGGGCAGTTGCCATGTGTGGTTAACTACAATGGCCATGTCATAGCAACTACAATTGCCATGTAGTTGCACTGTAGTTGCCACCTAGTTGGACTGTAGTTGCCATGTCACAGCAACTACAGTTGCCATGTTGTGTCAACTCCACTTGCCATGTGATTGCCGTGTGAAAAAATGCAGCATGGAAACAAAAAGTCCAGGTGACATGCTGTCGCAGATCAGTTGCCATGTGTGATGCACTGTGTTTGCCATGTGACAGCAACTACAGTTGCCACGTGGTTGCCCAAACGTCAAATGCAGCATGGCAGCAAAAACAAAATGTAGGTGACATGGTGCATCAAATCCAGATGCCATGCCATCACATGTCAGTTGCCATCACAAAGTGAGAACCCCCCGAAAAAATATGTTTGGGACAAAAGTCAAACTACAAAAGATGTATACAATAAAAATCATAAGGGCATGGCAAGTGTACCTTGCACAATCGGCTCTGCGAACTTGACAGCCTTCCTGCCCTCAACCATTGGCTGCGCCATCATTGCAAGCATGCCTCCTGGGAAAGCAAAGGCAACTGGCATAGGATCTTGCACCACCGGTTGATCTTGACTAATGCCAAGGCTGAACCTTAGTGGGGTAATGGCCATTGGGTGCCTCTCATTCCTACTGGCCGGACCACGAACGACTTGCGGGGCAGAATCCAAGGGTGAAAGATCAACAAACATATCTGAATCGGCCGCTACAGAATGATCGGCCTTATTTGCAGGGCGGGGCGTCTTGTCAGCGGTATCAGCCGCAGCTTTCATGACAATCTTCTTGTTTGGGCTGTAGGGGACACCGACATTGACTGGGAGCCTGGAAGTGCGCAGATTTATGCTGGGGATTCCCACTGCGGGTAAAGGCGCAGTCTGCTTCGGGTGTTCACCTGTGTCGCTCGTGCCCGGCTTGACACCTGCATCAGTTGTGCTCCGGCCTTCCGGTTTCTCCGTCCCATTGCTTTTGGCAGGTGGCGGGAACAGTGTGGACGCAGGAACAAAACCAGACTCATCTCTCCTGCTCCTGGCTACAGCCGGTGTGTTCGGTATGTCTGTTGGTTGCTTGCGGGGGCTACGATGCCTAGGTGGTAGACCAGCACGCGAAACAGTCGCCTTAGCAGTATCTGCACCGTCAGGAGCTGGAGCTGTTGTGCCAGGACTCTCACCTGTAGATGGCATGTCCTTGTGAACTGCCGCCTCGACCGCTTCTGTCGTGGACACATGAGTGCCACCGCGCACGCGCTTGGATTCAGTGTCAGATGAGCGGGAATCTTCCTTGTCTAGGTTCGTCTCGGGAGCGTCCACTTCAACGCTTGCTGATGGGGTGGCATGGCTCACAGCAGCATCCTTCATTGCCAGAAGAGTTGGCAGTATTTCAGCTGTCCTGGCAGATACCGACTCGTCACTCCCCGATGTACGGATGCCTGTTGTTCTAGCCTGCACATCTATAGCCGACAGAGATGGTCGGCCACTTGCATCAGAGTTGGTGGGAGCGGTCAATGGTGCAGCAGCAGTATTGTCGCCTGGTGCCTCGTGTACATCTGAGTTGCCCCCTGTTGACAACTTTGAATGCAGGCGTTCGAGCGGGTCCTTACTGATATGCTTGGACCCACGCGTAGTAGTCTTCTTCACCCTGCAAAAAAAACGAAGCACATGAAAAAGGTATTTAAAAATGAAACAAAATTATGTTTGCCTTGGTAGAAAATCTTAAAAAAATGGAAAACAAGTGGAAAAGCTGGTAATTGCCATGTAAGGGGAACATGAGTTGCCATGCGTCATAGTTAGCAGTTGCCATCCAGCAGCAGTTGCCATGTTAGCAACCTTGAATAATGATAAAAATGTCTGATATGCCTAGGGGTGGGATGAGCTCACAAGCCAACGGTAAAAAGATGGCAGTTGCCATTAGGTGCATTAAAGTTACCATTTTGGCCTACATTCCACTTGCCATGTGAAAACAAATAGGAGTTGCCACACGCTTAGAAAGGAAAGAAAGAACCATTTGGTAAAACAGGGGTTGCCACATGTGGGGGCGATGACAGAAGACAATGTGACAAGCTAAACGAATGCATTGGAAAATCAAGGAAATATAGCGCTATGTCAATGAAAGCGGATGAAAAAACCTACTTCCTGACTGCCTTCCTCAGGTCTGGCAACACGACAGGATCCCCGGTGTTGGTTGTCGTCGTGCGAGGAGATGTCCTGGTGGAAGTGGTGTCACCGGCAATGGGGGCACCTTTGTTCAACCGAGCAGAAACACGGGTTGGCGTTGGCGCATGTTTCTTCGTAACTGCTCGTCCACCAGCTATCGGCTCGCTGCACGTATGAGATGGAGTGAAAAAAAAAGGTGGCAATTGTCAGTCAGCAATCTCGTTGCCGCGTTTGACAGAACACAAGTGCAAAAAAGAGGATGAGTCTGTTCGAAGAAAATAGACAAAGCAAAAAACTAAGATGAAAGTCGAACCTCTTCCTGGCAGCTACAGGGTCGGTCCTAGACCTCTTGGCAGAAGAACCCTACCCAACACCCTCTGGAGCCATCCCCCTCTTTGATGGCAAAACCCCCTTGCCTCTCACAGCCGTGTGTTGTTTGACTTTATCCGGTTAGGGGACATCTGTTGCATCCTTGCCCTTGTTACCACCTGCGCGAACTTCAGCATGTTCATCATCATCGGTGTCCTCTTGCACATTATCCATAACATCATCGTCATCCTTGCTGAGACTAGCGTCTCCACCTAGTTCATCTTGTGTGTCAGCAGGCTCCTGGGAACTGTTGTAGTCATACCAGCCACGGCAACCGGTTGGCCGTTGTGTATGTTCTGGGACAAATGAAGTGAATTGCCTCGCAACCGCATCGCTGTCAGAGCCACTGAGGGACGTCCACCCCTCAACCAACTTCCCGAGCAAGCCGGTCATTCCAGATGCAAACTGCCCTATTAGCTGCTCAACAAGTGCCCTCGCCTGTACACGAAACAAAAAGGCATCAATGACCACCCCGTATTGCAATCACTTGCACGACATCGAAAAATACTCCACGGCAAACATAGATGTAGATCTTTTTGATTACCTCGGTAGGGCAAGACGGAGCTGAGTGCACGTCCATCCACTTCCCAAAGTTTTGAGGCCCCCCAAACACGCTGTAGTCTATAGCATGCTTGGCCATCAGCTGGAGAGAACAAAAAAAATAGCTATGATATAAGAGAGAGAATGATGAACACTGACTAGCAGTTCATGTGTTGCAAAAAAGCAGAACTAACCTGTAGTTTTCCATATTTGGTATCAGTTACCCTGTCTGCAGCAAGCACAGCCTTGACAGCATCGATAGTCCATGCAGAAACAACAAACTTGTGCGTAGGCGGCGGGCCTCCTGTCCCAGTGAAATCCACGATGGACAGATCAAGGCAGTCGACGTACATGAGCTGATGTACAACAATTTTAAAAAGAAAGAAAAATCAGTTGCGATCATGGTATTTTGCGAAAAAACAGGATAATATATGTTCCTACGATCATCAAGTTGAGGTGCATGAAAAAGAGAAAAAAGAAGAAGTTGCCATCTGTATGTGCTAGTTGCCATCATAGTGTGATGGCAGTTGCCATCATAGTATGATGGCAGTTGCCATATTGTCATGATGGCAGTTGCCATCATAGTATGATGGCAGTTGCCATATTGTCATGATGGCAGTTGCCACATAATCAACATGGCAGTTGCCATCTTGTTATGATCAGGTTGCCATGCATGAATAAAAAGGTGTTAAAAAGAGTGTTCATAGAAAGGACCGGTAAAAAAATACCATTAAATGCAGTCGACAACCCTTCTGGTACACCTTGCTTGCGAATGCATCATGCAGGAAGTCGGCAATGAACTTACACCAATTCATGTTCTTCACATCTTTCAGTTTCGCCTGCACCGCACAAAATTCAGGACAACGAGTTGCCGCGTCAGAAATCCAATGGAAAAAACATCAGAAAACACTGGCAGTGACTAGCTTGCACATGACATCGGAGCAAAAAAATTGAAGGAAAAATAATGTAGTAAAGATAGATCACTCACCAGGATGGGGAAGCATTTGTTGCTTGGGCGAAGAGAAGTGGTCGACGCGAAAACGGCTGAGATGAGGTACATGAGTAGCTTCATCTTGAAAACATCTCCATGCGTCGTCATGGCCTCCAGCGAATCTGCCACTGTAGACATGTTCGGCATGGATTCCAACCCAGGAAACAAACGGGGGAACAGCGCTTCCTCGATCTCATTGCTGACCTCGTACGGGACTTTGATATGTCCACGAGGCACACCCAAAGTGCAGAACACGGATTCCTCGTTCAGCGGTAGTCTTCCGCATCCCGGAATCACGAATTCCCTAGAGGCGGGGTCGTAGATCTCACCAAGCCAATCGCATACAGGGTTGACAAGGTTCGTGCACCGGACAGCCGTCATAGACTGCATACCCATCTCAGCAGCAGCCCCCTTCTGATCGCCGCTGAATTTGTCAGTCAACGCAGTCAGTCGTTCTTGGGAGGCTCTGTTGCGAATATGTTTCTTCTTCTGCAAAAAACAGACATAAAGTGATCAGTTGTTGCCATGTTTTTGCAAAAAAGAGATCAGTTGTTGCCGCGTTTGCAATGTAAAGAAATTTTAGTTCGTGTCAGACGACTGCAAGCTCAAGGTGTCAACCATTAACATACAGCAGGAGGAAGGGGGGATGTATGAACATTTACCTCATCACCCTCTTTTCTCCGTCCAGTTGCCCGATTACGCTGTGGTGGATCCATGAAATCATCATCGTCGTTTTGACGATTGCCACGAGCCATTCTGCTGAGATGGGAACAGACCAAATTGTCATGGTGGAAATGTAAATGCAAAGAGGTCAGCAAAAACTTGCCAGATGCAAAGCATATGTATGGCATCTGATACATTTGATATGCAAATTCGGTTGCCACATTATGCAACCAATTTGCCACACTGTCTTATATGCAGAATGGCAACAGACAGTGTGTTCACACTCTATTTGCCACATGAATATACTATCCAGGTGGCAACAGGCACACTTTATGTGCACAGTGGTTGCCATCCAGTGCAGTTGGCTCGTGAATGTACATTGACTACCGATTGTGGCAACTATCACAGTGTGGTTACTATCACATATCATTCGGAAAAACACTGGCCGCAATGAAAATAGCATGATTGTGGCACCTAACACAGAAATTCAGCAAATCTTAGTTGCCACACGGAGAAAGAGCGTGTGTGTGGCAACCATCACATTACTTCAGCAAAATTATTTGCCACATGGAAGAGCGTGTGTGTGGTAACTATCACAGTCATTGAATGAAAAATAGTTGCCATGTGAGAAAGCTTACATGTGGCAACTAACATAGTCATTTCAGTAATTTGTTGCCGCAAGGGGAAACACGTTTGTGGCAACTATCAAATTTGTTCAGGGAGTTAGTGGTCGCACAAACATGATAGTTAATGTAACTATCAAGTTCGCCTCATACTGCATTTTTAAAACCAAACTAACTAGATCTAGGGTTCAATGACAACTACCTCGACTTCAAATTCACCCTCAAAATTCTCCCACGAACTGACTGCAAACACAAAATCGAACCAACGCGCATCAAAAACAATCCGGGAGACACCTGCTCAATCCATAGGCAAGACTAGTGCGTACCTCCGAACAGGCAGAACCACGCCGACGATGCCGCCGCCGCGCCCGCGACGAAACTGACCAGTGCAACCAAAAGCGGCTAGCTGAGGACTTCGGCGCCGGCGGGAACGCCGACGCATCGACGAATGGCCTGAATCTCTACGAATCTCGATCGAGGAATCGAACAGGGAGGGAAGGGGAGGAAATGCAGGAAGGGATTGCGAGGGTTGCAGCGAGCAGTACTTTCAACCCGCAGGCGCTCCGGCGAGCCGCTTCGTTTCGGCGAGCACCACCGACGGTCCCGAACACCGTCGATTCTTCCGCCTCCGCCGTCGCCTTCTCCCCTCGCCTTCTCCTTTGATGGTTTGAAATGCGAGTGGGTTCTGCCAGTAACTGCGGTGCGGGTGAGTAAATGGAAGCGTGAGGGAGAGGGGGCAGAGGCGTGCGACGTGTTTGACGTCAACCGCGGTCGAAGCGTGGCGTGCGGGCGCATTGCAGTTCCACCGCACGACTCAGATGGCAACCGCTGACCGCGGGGTGGCAACCAACGTGCGGGCGAACCTCCTCGCACACCGCACACGCGCCTCGTCCTACGTGGCGCAAAAAACCGCCCGGTTTGTTCCAAGATTCATGCACAGACCTGCCAACGATGATGCTTGCGTGTGGTCGGGGTGGTGAACGCCCACACGTGTGGGCGTTAACATTTCCGTTTTTATTACTTTTGTTGTTCTTTATACTGTTATGATTGAAAATGAATATATTGAAAGTCTCTCGAACAAAAATGCCCTAACACAACTCAACCCGGTCAAAATCGCTGGACAATCCAAATTGGGAGTTGTAATTTTTTATTGGGTCGCATTCAGACATGAGCCTCAAAATATGGCTGAAATTCCAACGGTGTTCACCTCCTGGTCTCAGGTGGTGTCATTTTCCAAGTTCAAAAAACAATTTTTTTTAGAAGAAAAGGGCAGTCCCGCCCCTGTTCCATTTCCATAGAAAATGAAACACACCAAGTACATCATATTACAGACCGCGGGAGGAGATTGAGTATCTCTCCGGCAACATTTTTGCAAAGCAAAACATCAATAACGAACCTAGGCAATAAAGCAACAGTCTGAATAAAACACGCTAAAACATAAACCAGCTACTGGACATTTTTAAGATGAGACAGGAGGCCACATCAACTCTCCATGGAACAGGCTCTCCTCCATGCTCATCAAGCCACCCATCTTTTGCAGGGAGTACAGCCGCCAGAGCTCGTTCTTCTTCAGCCTGGCTCTGGCCAGAGCAGCAGCGGTGGTTTTCTTGCCTCCTCCCATATAGTCGTGTTCAAAAAACAATTGGTAGCCGGCTCGAGAGATTCAGCAGCAACGGCTTGGCTTCTAGTCACCCTGACCACCAACCGCGTCCATTGTCTCCGAATCGTCAGCTGCTGGATTCCATCCCCTTCTTCCAATAGGGGACATGGCCGCGCCGCCGCCCGCCGACGAGAGGCCGCTGGTGATGCTGGCGCAGCCACTCTTCCCGGAGTTCGCCGCGGCGCTCGCCGGCCGCTACCGGTTCGCGCTGCTCGCGGACGCCGACGCGCCGGCCGCGACCGAGGCGAGGGTGCTGTTGGTCGGGGGCCTCCCGCTGGTCACGGCCCAGCACCTGGGTGCGCTCCCGGCGCTCGACCTCGTGGCGTGCACCTCCGTGGGCGTCGACCACGTGGACCTTGACGCGTGCCGGAGCCGAGGGCTCAGCGTGACCAACGCGGGCGCTGCGTTCGCGGCCGACTCGGCCGACTACGCCGTCGGGCTTCTCGTCGCCGTGCTCCGGAAGGTGGCCGCCGCCGACGCGTACGTCCGCAGCGGCAGGTGGACGGCCGACGGCGACTATCCTCTCACCACCAAGGTTAGTACCTACTGCTCACTCTTTTGTTGGCCATCCCAAAGAAGAGGATGATTTGACTATGAGTCGTGGCGATGGCAGGTGAGCGGCAAGCGGGTGGGGATCGTGGGGTTGGGCAACATCGGCTCGCGCGTTGCCCGCCGTCTCGCCGCCTTCGGCTGCGCGGTCTCCTACCACTCGAGGTCGCCCAAGCAGTCGGCGCCGTACCCGTTCGTCCCGGTGCTGCGCGACCTCGCCGCCGGCAGCGACGTGCTGGTGCTCTCCTGCGCGCTGACGGACGAGACCAAGCACATGGTGAACCGGGACGTGATGGAGGTGCTGGGGAAGGGCGGGGTGCTGGTCAACGTCGGTCGGGGCGGCCTGGTGGACGAGCCGGAGCTGGTCAGGTGCCTCCGCGAGGGCGTCATCGGCGGCGCCGGCCTGGACGTCTACCAGAACGAGCCCGCCGTACCACCGGAGCTGCTCGCCATGGACAACGTCGTGCTGTCAAACCACAGGGCCGTGCTCATGACGGAGTCCATCGGCGGCGTGCTTGAGGTCGTTATCGCCAACCTCGACGCCTTCTTCTTCGGGAGGCCGCTGGTCAGCCCCGTGGAGCTCTGAAACAAGAACATCACTCATTAGTTAGATGAAATTGATCCGTGTGAAGAAATCGCATTCTGCAACAAGATAAAGTGATTAAACACAATGGTTCCGGGAGAATAAGATCTGCAAGAATATGTCACACCTAATCAGCTGATTAGTGTGCCTAGGTGCTGGCTGGCGGGCCCAGCCAGCTGGCCTGCCAAGTGGAGGCGTGGGTGCGTTAAGGGTGGCCGCCTGTGGCCGTGTGGAGGCATGCGTGTGTAGATCATTCTCTGTATCCAAACTCTCCTCTACAATCCTAACCCCTTCTCCAAGCTCATCCCCCTTCCTCACCTGCTCCCTCTCACCTACTCTAGATCACCGATTCCCTCTCCGATCAGGGGCGTTACATTGGTATTCAGAGCCAAAAAAAATTTCCCCTCGCCGCCGCTGCACCTTCTGAAGCTTGGGAGGTGGATCGGTAACATCCACCGCGCACGGTGCGAGTCCGCTCGCCAGATCTCGCCCAAAACCCGTCGCGGGGTACGATCCCCTTTCAGGCAGGAGCAACGGCGCCCTCGAAGCCCTCAGTTGCGACACGGCAATTCCAGGAAGCCATGGAGGAAGGGAACGCCCACATCACGAAGATGCTCGACTCCCTCCTCACCAAGCTCGACGAGCAAACCGCTCTCCGCGACAAGCAACTCGAGGCGCAGATCGCCTTCAACAACCAGATCTCGGCGGAGCTGCGGGGCCTCTCGCGGCAGCTTGATCTGACGCAGGCAGACATCGATGCGACCCGCAAGACCGTCGACGGCTCGACCTCACCAGCGGGCTCTGTCACCACGCTGGTACCACCACCACCACCACCGCCACCACCGTCTCCGCACCATCAGCCCCCCCACGCGGAGCCCCATCGTCCCGCCTCTGCTCACGCTCGTCTGGGGGACAACCGACCACCACTCATTCCGGTTCCCCCTCTCGGTGCGCCCATGGCTAGGGTCACCGCGCCGCTGCCCAGCCCCAGCCACCCAGAGAGCTCCTACCACAAACCCCCAAAACACGATTTCCCCCGTTTCGACGGATCCGCACCCTACCTATGGCTGGATCGTTGCTTGGCATACTTTGAGCTCTACAAGGTGGTCAGCAATTTTGGGTGCCTATCGCTGCTCTGTACATCGAGGGGCAGGCGGCGCACTGGCTCCAGGCGTTTCGCCAGAGTCACCGCAACCTAACATGGGACATGTCCTGCACCGCCGTGCTCGAAGAGTTTGGTGCGGACGAGTTCGAGCTCACTATGCATCGTCTCCTTCAGCTACGGCAGACGGGCAGCGTCGTCGATTATCGCACGGCGTTTGATAAACTCATGTATCACCTTCTGGCGTTGGATCCCTCCATCAACAACAAGTTCTTCATCACCCAGTTTTTGTTGGGACTGAAGGACGAGCTGCGCGCTGCGGTTCGTCTACAAGCCCCATCGAGCATCACCCGCGCATCCGTGATGGCGCGCATTCAGGAGGAAGAGCTGGGCACGACACGTCCATGGGGCCGACCAGTTCCTCCAAGGCGTCCTCCTCCACCAACAAACGCGGCTCAACCGCGCCAAGCGACAGCCCCACGCGCTGCCGGCGACGAATTCGCTCGGGAGCGCCAGTTGCGGGATAACAGGCGTGCCAACAACCTCTGCTTCAAGTGCGGCGACAAATACTCACGGGAGCACCGCTGCGCGCAGCCGGCACAGTTGCTCACCATACACGTGGGGGAGCATGGGGAGGTTCTCTCCGACGACGCGATCCATGCTCTCCAGCTCTTGGACGA